CCCCCCACCCCACACACACACACACCAATAAGCGTTTTAAAATGTTTTCAAAATAAGTCTGGCACTTTGGAGAAAATCCAGGACTTGCTGGAGGGATTATGTATCCCCTCTGGCCTGGGAACGTCTGGACTCGCTGGAGGGATTATGTATCCCCTCTGGCCTGGGAACGTCTCGGAGTCCCCCAGGACAAGCTGGAAAGTGTCACTGGGGAGAGGGATGTCTGGGTCACTCTGCTGCTGCCCCAGCAACCCGATCCTGGATAAGCGGCAGAAAACGGACGGACGGACAATTTATATTGTTGGTCAAAATTATTACATTTAAAGTTATAACTAATTTAAGCGGAATGGCCTATTGTCAAGATGATCAAAGAGTGTGATATATTTTCAACTCAAAATATCTTCAAACTAACAAAATATAAAGTTATTAGGGAGGAAAATCCATCTGGATAACAGCAGACTGATAAAACATACAACAGGTCTGGACCACACGTGAATTTTGTTCGTATCTGAAAAAAATCTTAGAATACGAAAACATTGGTGAATGCCACAAATTATCCTAAATCACTCGTACGCACAACTTAAGAACAAATCTGTACGTACCAACGGTTTTTGCATGAGGCCCATTGATCCCAAAGACAGCATGTACAAACAAAAAGGAACAGATCCTAAAGTAGACCCTTGAGGTACACCACAACAAATTGGAGTTGATGAAGAGTATTCCCCCAATTTTCTTAAAGTTTAAATAAAGTGTGTAGTAATTCATGACAAATGATAAAAGACAGACAAGGTTGACTCCAACAAATAATGTAAAGTTTAAAACACAATTTGTTGGCATCCAGAGCATGTGCTAGAATTGTATTTCATTGACTAAGCCACCATGTTTTTTAGCCCAATAGCTGTAAAATTGATGGAGTTATTGTTATTTTTCTGGTGGACTCCAAAAGTTGTGGATGTATTTTCAATTACTTCATTTTTACTTTAGTTTTATTAAAATAAATTCACTTGTTCATTTTGCCAACAGACAGGCACATGCACGTACAGAGAAGTTGTAAAAACTATTGACTCAAGCTGAGCTGTTTCAATCATTTAGTTTTATGGTGAACAGTTTCCATCTTGTTACATAACATTAAACTGTCGATAATAAGAACAGAGGTAGAACATTTTTACAAACTGTAACATTATACCTTTACATGTACTACAGACTTGTGAAGAGCAAATTCAGATTTGGTGACCAGGACATTAGATATGTCTTCAGGCTGTGTTGATACTGAGGAGCAGATGGTACACAGAGTTTGGGAAGATGCCTTTAAACACGTAACTCAATACAGTAAAAACACACACAGGCAGGGATATTGTCTGCAAAATGTCTGCAGGTCTTTGAAACATTACCACTCATCTGTTTAAAATAGTCTGGCATTACTGTCCCAGAGCAGTGGATTTCCTCACTTTGACAGCTAACCTGCTGCCTGCCAGATGTTTCAGGTTGGAACTGCCTGAAAAGCACAAATGATCCAATTTCACAACGACTGGATGAGACAATAGGAGCTGCTGCCTGTGCATAACATTATAGTAGGAGGTAAACCACAAATCAATACATGTCTGATTCCACTTCATTGTTTGTTGCTTCAAAGGGATAGTTCTGATCTTTTGAAGTGGAGTTCTGTGAAGAGGTTATGAGGAATTCTATCTTACCTATTGTAGCCTCTTTAATAGGCCCATTTAAGAAACAGAGTCTAATTCTAAATAGGTTAACAAGCAAATGGCTAGTCAGAGTGGTACCTCAGTCAAAATGAGCTGTTGTTGTCTTAAAATAACTTATATACCAAAATTTCATATAAATTAATATGAACTTATTTTATAAAGATTTACACCATCAATTTCACATTACACTAAACATCATATTAAACATTTATTTCACCATTATCTTTCATATCACCTTAGGAGATCCCTGTTCAATTTATGCTTGTATTAATCACAGAATTAAATGTAAATTAGTTAAAATTAATTAAATCCCTGTTAATGTTTTATTGTAAGAAAACATTAACAGGGATCCCTCCAAAATGACTCACAAAACCTGAGGCTATGAGGGTCATTCTGAGCCAGGAAGGCAACAGGAAAAATGAATAATTATAATTGAGTGTTTTCATTGATATCTAAGATTTTTTATTTGATTTGTTTTAGACAGAAACAATGGGCTTCATGCAAGAATATGTTCTTATTCTTATCCTAAATTTCTCTTACTTTTGTTCGTATGAACATGTCACGTCAGATTCAACAAACTCTTCTATCTTCAGGAAAAGTGTGTAGGTGAGCTGCGTAAATTCCACCTGTTCGTATCCAGCTGCTCATGCACGCGAGAGGAGATTAGCATAATTACCACCCCAAAAACACCATATAAGGCTATGTTTCCTGCCTCAGATACAAGGAAGTGTCCATTCATGAAAATGACAACGAAAATTAAAAAGAAGAACTTTACGAGTTCAGAGATTGAAGTCCGTCTGTCAGAGATCCAGAAAAGAAAACCTGTGATTTTTAGCAGGTCAGCTGTGGAATGAAAAGAGCTGCTAAAAGTATAATCAACTATTTCTTTCTGAAATAAGCATTTTAAAATGTTTTCAAAATATGTCTGGCACTTTGGAGAGAATCCATGACTTGCTAGAGGGATCATGTACCCCCTCTGGCCTGGGAACATCTCAGAGTCCCCCAGGACGAGCTGGAAGGTGTCGCTGGGGAGAGCGGGGTCTCCTGCTGCCCCCCACGACCCGATCCCGGATAAGCGGCAGAAAACGGACGGACGGACAATTTATATTGTTAGTCTAAATTATTACTTTTAAAATTATAACTCTAATTCAAACAGAATAGCCTATTGTCAACATAATCATGGAGTGTGATTTATTTTCAACTCAAAATATCTTCAAACTAACGAAAAATATAATTAGTGAAGAAAACCCGTCTGGATAACAGCAGACTGACTGCTGGTAAAATATAAGACAGGTCTGGACCACTCGTGAATTTTGTTCATTTCTGAAAAAAATCTTAGAATACGAAAACATTGGTGAATGTCACAAATTCTCCTAAATCACTCATACGCACAATTTAAGAACAAATCTGTGCGTACGAACGGTTCTTGCATGAGGCCGATTGTTTTTTAATTAATTTTAAGGCAGGGTTGGCAATCTTTACAGAAATAAATTTTAGGACTTTTCCACTTACATTCTTTTCTAAGTTAGAAGATATTTCACTCATCTGTAGAGCTTTCACAGTTAAAAGTTGAGGCCATTCAGAAAGTTACCTACAACAGGTAAGATAATACATCTTTATTACATCTCAATAGAACTTCATTTTAAATTATCTTATTTGTTTCTTTTAGTTTTGATGTTCAACGCTGCAACGCTCACGTGGGCAATGACAGTGATGCTACATTTACATCAAACGCGTTGCGTGCCTCCAAAAATCTCAAAATGCACGCATCTCGACGCTGGTGTCCAGTGAGGACAGACGCATTCGATGTGAAGGTAGACGTGCTTCTTTAGACACACTATAGGAGGAGACTTTTTAACAGTAGTTTCGATAACTTACCAAACATGCCGACTTCCTCACTAATCGTCCTCCAGGCAAAGTCTTTTTTATTTCTATCACAATAATCACTGGAATGATCATAAACGATAGGACTATCAGTTTTTCCTCCATTGTTTGTGTGATCCGATTTCCTGGGCTTCCAGTATTTTCAGCTCGTCACCAATATGTCACTGAGTGTGAGGATTTGTGTTTTGTGTGTGTTGTTCTTGTTGTCTTGTGCCTCCCTCTTGTGTACTCTTCATGACATTACCTCTTTACCTCATTTTCACCCTCCTCCAGATCTTTCCATTCACACTTGTCTGCACTTGTAATTAGCTCAGCTGTCTTCCATTTCCACTCATCTCTGTTTTGTATAAATCCTGCTCATTTTCTCTCCACCTTCATCCGTTCATTGTTCATTTCAGAACCTGCCCACAGAAAGCTTCTCAGCAGAAAAAGAAGTAAATGACTATTTAAGGTCAGGATATGAGCTTGACATTCTGAATCACTTTCCAAATCTGAGAAAAATGTACATGAAGTACAACACTCCAACTCTGTCCAGTGCACCAGTGGACCGGCTGTTCTGTTTAGGTGGACTGGTGCTTTCCCCGAAAAGGAACAGACTGTCTGATAGGAGGTTTGAAAAACTCCTGCTAATGCGATATAACCACTGTTTCACTCCAAAAGAATACAAAAAAACATATAGGGCTTCTATCAGAGAATCTATAAGATGAGACTATACTAACAGCCTRCATGTGTCATGTAACAGCACTTTGTTTTTGTAGACACGTTAATATTCCTCTCTGCGCTTTACAAACTGTTAAGAGATGGTGATTTAGAATGCAGTCAAGAGACTTTGATTTTATTTATTTTATTGCTGTATTTTATTTATCTATACTAATTATAGATAAAAGATTTGCTTTATTTTAAGTAACTGTATGTGAATGGTCAGAAATGTAAGTTTGCAGAGAAAAGATTTACTTTATTTTGTCAAAATGTCTTAAGGGTCAGAAATTTACAGAGAAAAGATTTGCTTTATTTTGTTACGTTGTCAGAAATTTTAGTTTACAGATAACAGATTTGTTTTATTTTACTAAAATATGAAAATAGGTTTAAATGTTTAATTGTTTTCTTCAAGTTAGTGACTGTTACACTTTGCTTGATGCATTGTTGATAAAGTTAAAAGATTGGAACTAATAAAATCAGTTTTGAAAAAGACTGTTTCATCAGATTTAGTTTTTTATGAAGAAATATGCAGAAGAACAGAATTAAGCCGAAAGCTCTATTGCTTCATAAAGTACTGTATTCCAGTTGTGCATTTTGCTTTTGAAAAGTAAACTGAAGTAACTAATTATTTTTGAAATTAAGTAATCAGTAAAGTAACCACATTACTTTCTCTGAGAACTAATCTGTAATCAGCAACTAATTACTATTTCCAAGTAACTTGACCGCCACAGGTTACTACAGTGAAATACATTACATTATCTTTGACATTGTTCAATATTTTTAATTATTAACATTACATTCATTATTTTGTATTATATTTTTATGTTTGTATGAAAAGTATTTTTTAGCTAAGAAGTTACACAGTACTATGTTGTTGTTTTTCCTAGCCTATTGCTACAATAGTCAGTGTATTTTTGCTTTTTGATAAACATTGCTAAAAGTAGTAAATTACAAATTGAAAGTTATGTAATCTTTATATGTTTATGTTTATTAAACATTTTTGTTGTCATGTAAAGCTTTTATTTGTTTTTTTTCTCCAGAAGTCTAAACCAACAAGGAAAGAGATGACGTTTACCAGCACTTGCTCTCAAACCATACCCAACATGTGCTCAGTTGGGACCCAGCTTTCCATTAAAACTCTTCAACCCCATGTTAAAAGTTTAGGTTAATGAAATATTGTACCTGCAATGTAGTGATTAATTTTTTTATTTTTTAAACTACATTTAGTCAAGTAATTCGTCATTGTTGATAGTGTTAATTTTATTTGTTCAAAAGTATACAGGTGACCCCAAAGTGTTTTGATTTTGGAACCAACACTTCAACAACTACATTTGGGCAAACACACACCTTATTGTCATCCACACCAGTAAAGCGACAACTGTTGTCTGTTATTGCTGAAGAACTGAAACCAATAAAGAGACCCCAGTGGGTGATGACACATTAGAGGGCAGCTCTCTTATGAATATACAAAGCCCACAATAGCCCACATATGACCCTGAAGACTCCATAAGTGCTTTGTCTGAGATGCCTGAACACAAGTAAGCAAAGTTGTTCTAGCAAATGTTTTCTAATGTATGAAATAATTGATTATTGTTACATTGTTTTTCAATATTTTATTTTGTTTCTTCTTTCTACTTTTTCTGTAGAATGGATTGTACAACACCAACACACAGAACAGCTACTTACATAATTTATGAAAAGTGACTTTTGGAACTTTTTGAGATGTGTCCTGTGTGTCAACAACACACAAAGCAATGGACCAGAACAATTGGAACTTTGTGTAGAGCAACTATGTGACAACACTGTGACTTCTTAAGAAAATGGAACAGTCAGCCACTACATGGAGGTACTCTGGCTGGGAATTTACAACAGTCAGTTGCTGTGTATGCAAATGGTGGCTCATTTACAAAAGTTTCAAAAGTAAATATTTTACATCAAATCCTTCACATTTGTTACAATATTAAATATGTGCATGATATAATGTATTTTTTTGTTTTCACAGATCTTCCACGCAATGCATTTTAAAATGTTTAACCACAACACCTACAGATGACATGCCAGACTTTATTGAGCCAGCTATTATTGACATAAGCAACGTAATAGTCAGGCCAGAGGTCTATTGCTCAAAAGTCAGATTTCTAAATTCAGGATATGAGCTGTAAGCTGAGCCAAAAATAAAATGGAGTGAATGGTGTCTGTCAGATGTATAGTTTAAGAGCTATGTTGATTTTAAATTCTCTTTTTTGCATTTGTGGAAATCCAGGTCGACAAAAAAATGGCACAATAAATATACATGTGACAAAATTTCAAGTGGATATCTTCAACTTGTGTTTACTATGCATGTTGAAGATTATAAATATACAAAGCTTTGAAAAAATATATAAATGGGGTGTACTGGGGAGTAGTTCCTGCGATTCAGTTTAGGCGAATTTTAGCATTTTTTGTGTTTACTCCAGCTATTATGCATTAAACATGATATAATCATAGGAATCATTTTTCAACAAATTACCTATGAAAAGACAAAAATAAAATGGGGTGAATGGTGTCTGTCAGATGTATAGTTTAGGAGCTATGTTGGTTCTCATTATTCACAATGGAAAATCCAGGTCGGCCATTAAAGATGGTCAATAAAAACATATGGGACAATAATTTGCTCTGGGGCCATCACAATCCATTTACTAGACAAATTAAAGTACAAGTGGCTATTTTACTGCATGCATTAGGTGAAGATGCACTTGAAGTGTACAACACACTAGAACTAGAGGAGGTTGGTGGACAAAGAACTGTTCAAACCATTTTAAAGGCATTTAAAACATACTGCCAGCCAAAGAAAAACACAGTATTTGAAAGACATCAGTTCTGGGCACATCCAATGACAGAATCAGCCACAATTGAGAAATATGTAACTGAACTGAGATAAAAAAGTAAAGATTGTGAATTTGGGGCAACAGAAAACGACATGATCCGAGATAAGATTGTATTCAGCATGAATGAGCAGCGTCTTAATGAACGACTGTTAAGAGAACCAAACTTCACACTGGAGAGAGTGATTGACACCTGCAGAGCAGCAGAGACAGCCAAATCACAAATACAAGCCATGAACGCAGCCACTCAAGATAAAACCATACACACGGTGCTTCAGACAAAACACAAAGGCCATTCATGGCCCAAGGGACGAAAACAGAAGCCCCAGGACACAAACAAGAAGTCAAAGAATACACATGCAGATAATGTAGAAGGATACATCAACCTAAACAGTGTCCTGCTTATGGAGTTGCATGTCGCAAGTGTGGAAAGATGAACCGTTTAGCAAAAATGTGTCAGTCAGACAAAATAACACACAAGAAAACTGTGCATGATCTGCAACCAGATATTGACTCTCTTTTTATTGGATCTGTGGATGTTCAGTGTCTAAAAACTAAAACAGACAAAGCCTGGTATGCAAACATACATGCAGGATGCATGCCCGTAGAATTCAAGTTGGACACAGGAGCGGAGGCTAACGTTCTACCACAATCGGTGTTCAAAATCCTGAAAAGAAAAGTCAAAGAAAAGAAAAGGATGAACTTACAAGTTCAACCAACAGAAACTGTATTAGTGGCCTACGGAGGAGTCAAGCTTAAGCCAGAGGGGACAATTTCTCTCAAATGTGCCACAGCCAAGTCACATGCAAATTTGCAGTTCCATGTCTCAAAACATTCACCCACTGCAATATTAAGCAGAGAAGCATGTGAGGAACTGGAACTTATTAAAAGAATGGATATTGACACATTGACAACTCAACTCCATACCCAACCACAAAAGAGGAACTGCTATCACAACATGCCAATATCTTTGAAGGATAGGAGAGTTCTCTGGAGAACATCACATCCATATTGATCATACAGTAACTCCTGTCATACATGGATGCAGGAAAATATCACTGGCAATCATGGATAGACTCAAAGATACACTGGAAGATCTACAGAAAGCAAATGTGATTGAAAAAGTAACAGAACCAACTGCATGGGTAAATAGTTTGGTAGTCACAGAGAAGAAAGACAAAAACAAATTGAGAGTTTGTTTGGACCGCACGGACCTGAACAAAGCCATCAAACGACAACACTTCTCCATTCCAACAGCAGATGAAGTGTTATGCAAACTGGATGGAAAGAACATATTTACTGTGCTAGATGAAAAGGGCAGCTTCTTGAAGAAATTTATAGTTATAAGAGGTTAGTACTGATGTTAAAAGCACAACACTATATTTTTAGGTTTTCTTTTTCATAATGTTGACAATGTTTAATCTATTATGTTTTGATTGATATAGATTAGTTACATGTCCAAATTACTGTATATAACAACACATAATCAACCGTTATGAGAACATTAGATGAGAATTTTGTATGAATGCCTGTGATTCAGCCGTAGGTCAGTAGGGGGGCGAACGCAGGCATTGAAGAAGATATATAAATTTATGAACTTCCTGGTTTTTCACCAGTGTTGGTTTCCTGTCAGCTCAAGTGACAATAAACCTCACTCAGATCCAGAATTCTGGTGTTATATGGTTTGATTCCTTCTACAAATCATTTTATTTAACAATGGTGTTTTTAATATCGACTTCAGTTTATCGAACACGAATTACTCACAGTTTTGGTGACCCCGACGTTTGCTGCAAGTCGAGACGAGGGCTGCCTCGTTCTCTTGGCTGCTCGGCCTGGCGGGTGGGAGGCCAGGTCGTCATAAGTTCTGGGTGCCAGATGACAGGTGAGCAAAATCATTTTTTGCTTTCCATTTTGATAAATAGACAGGACTGAAGGACGATCTGTTTTTCCACATGGCACATGGAGCTGGGGGTTAGAACAGCCCCGCTAAGTGTTAGCTTTGCTGAGCTAAGCCTGTGTGTCAGCTCAGCAAAGACAGTGTGTCATTCGGCGTAGTCATAACAAACATGGCTTGATGTGGACAGTAAAAGACGGTTTAAAAGCGTTTGAACATATCAGTCTGTGGGGGTTCAAAGCCATACAATAAATTGGGCCCTTTAGGTAGTGAAATATGTGTTTTTATATGTTTTTTGGTGCGTGTTGCGAGTAAAAATATTACCTCTTAGGCCGTTTTATGAGCTCTTTCTGAAAATCTAAGTGGGTCTTCTGCAAAAGACTGCACTAAACAGGTGGGGTACAACATTACAAATACATGGTGGCCGCATGGGCAGTTATATTATGCCCGTCAAAAGGAAAAATCCATGAATTGTAATTTGTGATTTCCTGGTGGGGATTTTCGCATGGTTTTAAAAATCCTTATTCAAAGGTGGGGTTATGTATGCGCGACATTGGAAATAAATCCAGGGGTCAAACTCTTTTTTTCTCTCTATCCTTGTTTGTGAGAGTGTGTGTGGTGGTTCTCCATTCAGCAGGTGTCCATTCACACGGATGTGTCATATATTGATTCAGAATAAAAGTATTCTGTTTTAAGAAGTCTGGCACTGAAGTAACCGCTGGTGGATTCTGTGGGACATCTGTGGGTGGGCATATACAGGTTTTGGGTTTTGTTTTTCTGTTTTAGTTTAGGGTAGCTACAGCCGGGAAATTGTACAAACAGCAGGAGGTACTGGGGTAGACAACTGCTGCTTAGGGTAGTCTACGTCGGGGTCATCGCCTGTTGGGCATTGCGCCAGATTTCCTGTGCTGGGGTTACGTGTATGAATTAAAAATATGTCTGATGAATAAATAAATTTATAAATTCTAAGATGGGTCTAAGGGGGTGGTCTTATATCGGACTTTTTAGGTTTATCTTGAAGATGTTGAATCTAAAACTTTAAGGATGGAAAAAGATGTTTTTGTTAAGATGTGCCAAGGTTGATTGCATGACGGAGACTTGTCACAGTTTGACCTAGCAGCGCCCTCACCTGCAGAATAGACAGAATTGTTTGTAAATTGGATGCGGTTTTTAGGAAGAAGGTTGATTGTTGAAAGGGCCTTGAATGACGAACTACTTAAATGACATCTGTGTCCGCAGACTAAGCTGTTAGAAAACACCTTGAAATATTGTTGTATAATAAGAATGTTATGTCCCTAAAGAGATGGAGAGTACAGAATAGCTGGAGAGTGGCTGAGGGTACGCACTCACGACAAAACATTTATGGCTGAATAAACCTTATCTATTTAATTACATTGAATGGTTTCAGACAGGGTTTGAAAACTGAAATAGCAATAATTCAGCAGTACCTGCAACTTTCTGGTGTCTTTAATTATTCTTCCTCATAATCTAGAGAAAAGAAACGATCGTGATAAAACTTGAACCTACCACCACATTGTGTTGGTTGTAAAACAAAAGAGGTCAGCAGGGAAATTTGATAATAGTTCTGAGTTAAATCTGGTTGTTAGTT